TCTAAAATTCAAGTCTACGGCCGCCATGAATACGACCAATAGACCGATTGTAAAGTTTACCAAAGCGGCGCCTTTTAAAGGCCACTTTTAACATTTTTGAATTTTGTTTTGAATTCTTATTTAGCGCCATCGCCGACTTGGTCGGACACCACACAGTGCTTTAATGGAACGGATAGAAGACAGACTTTCTAGAAAATGGGAACAAGAACGATCAGCAAACGAGAGAATTCAGAAAGAGATAGATGAACAAAATCAGAAACTAAAGGAACAAGAACAGTTTGCCTGTGACGTCGAAGCCGCCATGGTGGTGTGACAATACATTCACAAAGTTTGAAACGCGTACACTTGTTTCCGTTTGCCGTGTTCGTCGCAATAATATTATAATTAGGTAGAGCCCAAAGCTGCCGATAGACGGATACTAAAACTGGTGGAAAATGATTGCAAAAGATAATTATCCAGTTATGTCTTTATCATATGGGAATTCATTTGAGCCAAGAGGCAAGAGTACGACTTCGCATTCTCCACTTCGCGACTATAAGAATATACCGACAAATCTCGTACACGAGATTCTCGCCTTTCAGGCCAGTAGTTGTGTGTTGTTTTTTAGATGGGCCTAACTTATACAACGATTTTTTTTTTGATAAACTATGCAAAACGTGTGTTTTTTTTTTCTTGTGGCTGTGGTGTGCAGGACGTAACATTCAGAAAACAATAGAACATTTATTTTTAATAATCGATATCCGACCTTCATGTAACACATGCGTTATTATAAACGTATTTATGTGAAAGTGTGACGTTGCCGGCGGGACGTTTGAAGATCAAAGCTTGATAGAATATGTTTTCGATTCAAAACGCATAGAAAATATATCATTTGTAATTATTTGAGTTGCAATAAATTATCTGAATACCAATCACTGTTGGACTGGGATTGGAATGTATTCTTATGTGATTTAAATAATTCTGAATCGTAGATTGATCAGAATACTATATAATAACTTCTTAGTTACGGGTTCAAAGTTCCACGCCGATGTCTCATAGTACGAGAATACAACAATATCTTGTAATTTAGGGGGTCCGAGTCTCGAAACAAACGTAACTAGAGTACGAGACAATAATTGGTTAGTTAGAGGGTCGAATCCCCACACAGACGTCTCATACGTGAATGCTCGCAGTACGTGCTTGAATCTGCTCCACGTTACCTAGCTATACCAATACCCAGGAGAAATGCTAGTCAAATTCTTCTTTTTAGTTAGTTGGGAAATCATTCTATCTCGTCAACTCCATACGTTGCCAAGACTGC